AGACGGTAGTGGCGCGGTCGAGTGCAGAGTCGGAATACAGGGCAATAGCGCATACCACTTGTGAGTTAACATGGTTGAAACATTTATTGGAAAAACTTGGATTTGAACCCACTTCACCGATGGACCGGTATGTGATAATCAAGCAGCACTTCACATTGCTTCCAACCCAGTCTTCCATGAGAGAACGAAGCGCATTGAAGTTGACTGTCACTTTATTCGAGAAAAATTGCTGAAGAAGCAGATTGAGACAAAATATGTGAAATCAGTTGATCAGTTAGCTGATATATTTACTAAACCATTGGGGGACTCAAGGATAAAGTACATTTGTAACAAGCTTGGAGCATACAATATATATGCTCCAACTTGAGGGGGAGTGTTAAAGGGTATTTAAGTCTTTTATGTAATATTTAGGGTTTCCTAAGTTTTTATTATAAATAGTGTGAGAGGCTAACACAATAGTTAAGCCGCCTTATTCTTTTACTCCAACACTAACGGAAGAAAAATATTTCATCTTCCCAATCACCTCCTACCCATCCCCTAATCTCCACCACCACTACCACAAAAATAATTAAAAAGAGAAATAAAAGTATTTAAAAAAAAAGTAAAAAAAGAATTAATAATAGAAGTACATTTTTTTTTTTCAAAATGGTTCTTCCCCATCCAATATCGCACCCTGCCACCGGCCGCCAACATCACCATCACCATCGCCCATACTTCCCATCAGACTGCAGTACCATTCAAGAATTTAGTTATTTTCCTGTAATCAAGTTTTGTGTTTTAATTTTTTTTTTTATTTTTTTTATTTTCAGCGAAGTAATAAGAGTTTTTAAGCAACTTGTTCAACAAATTTTTCTTTTTGTTGCTGATTACACACACACACACACACACATATATATACACTCACTGAATCAAGTTTCGAATTTTTCTGTAGTTTTGTTCAAGATTCATTTTCCTCACAAAATGACCAAAGATGGATTTTTTCTTCCATTAGAGGGTTCGTTCAAGATCTTAATCCAAACACAAATCCTAATTGCTCAAATTTAAACTCAACTAAGAGGAAAATAATTTTTATTAAAGATGAATTATTTTTTGATAATATGTTTTTAATTATTTTAAGTACGACTCATTTGCACTATCTGAAAAATTTAGGTCTTTGATTGCATTTATTTCTTTTTTATATTATTTCTTCTTCTTTCTATCTGTTTATTTAAAAAGGAAGGTAAATTAGTCATTTTACAATTTTTTAATGAAAAAAATAGATGTAAGGACCTTTTGAACAAAGGTCGATATGAGGGTCCAAATGCTAAAATTGAAATAACATAGACAATAATAAAGAAACAATTGGATGTTTTGCACCAATTACATGAGGGTGCAAATGTCAAGTTTGAAACAATATGAATGATTTGCACAATGAGTGCAAACGATGAGGACGTATTGTTCTAATTATCCTAAAATTATAAGTTGAAATTATAATTTGATAAAAATGAGTGGTACACGAATAGGTATTGTTGTGGTGGTCACAATATATGTAGAATCAGCTATCCACTTTTAACTTCATATTTCTCAATCCATGAGTAACTATTATAGAAATCCCATCACGAAGGTTGCTATATTTAGTTGAGAAACCTTTTTCACTATGCTAGCATACAAGGAGTAATGTTTACAGAGCTTTCTCAAAGATTTGTCCTTATATTTTGTTCTCCTCTTGCCTCTATTGTCTTGCCCCCTTTGTTTCTCTTTTCAATTTTCTTATGAATTTTATTTGAAAGTTGATGTATTTAACGTTGAAGTATGTCATGCCAAATTTAATGACGTTTTGCGCAAGAAAATGCATAGGTAGGGACGTTCTGCACCAAAAAATCAAACGTAGGGACGTTTTCCACACAACCCGTCATAGGTAGGGACGTTTTGCGCCAATTACCCTTTTTTAAAAAATACAAACGAGTCTCACTTAAAACAATTTAAAGCATACTAACGAAAGAAAAATATTTCATCTTCCCAATCAACCCCTACCCATCCCCTAATCTCCACCACCACCACCACAAAAATAATTAAAAAGAGAATTAAAAGTATTAAAAACAAAGTAAAAAAAGAATTAATAATATAAGTAAATTTTTTTAAAAAAATGGTTCTTCCCCATCCAATATCGCACCCTGCCACCGGCCGCCAACATCACCACCACCATCGCCCATACTTCCCATCAGACTGCAGTACCATTCAAGAATTTAGTTATTTTCCTGTAATCAAGTTTTGTATTTCAATATTTTTTTTTTTAATTTTCAGCGAAGTAATAAGAGTTTTTTAGCAACTTAGTTGGTTCAACAAATTTTTGTTCTATCTTCTTGTTGCTGATTACACACACACACACACACACACACACATATATATATACACTCACTGAATCAAGTTTCGAATTTTTCTCTAATTTTGTTCAAGATTCATTTTCCTCACAAAATGACCTCTGAAGATGGATTTCTTTTTCCATTAGAGGGTTCGTTCAAGATCTTAATCCAAACACAAATCCTAATTGCTCAAATTTAAACTCAACTAAGAGGAAAAGAATTTTTATTAAAGATGAATTATTTTTTGATAATATGTTTTTAATTATTTTAAGTACGACTCGTTTGCACTATCTGAAAAATTTAGGTCTTTGATTGCATTTATTTATTTTTCTTTCTATCTGTTTATTTAAAGAGGAGGGTAAATTAGTCATTTTATTAAATGAAAAAAATAGATGTAAGGACCTTTTGAACAAAGAAAGGTCGATCTGAGGGTCCAAATGCTAAAATTGAAATAACATAGACAATAATAAAGAAACAATTGGATGTTTTGCACCAATTACATGAGGGTGCAAATGTCAAGTTTGAAACGATAAGAATGATTTGCACAATGAATGCAAACGATGAGGACGTATTGTACTAATTACCCTAAAATTATGAGTTGAAATTATAATTTGATAAAAATGAGTGGTACACGAGTAGGTATTGTTGTGGTGGTCACAATATATGTAGAATCAGCTATCCACTTTTAACTTCATATTTCTCAATCGATGAGTAACTATTATAGAAATCCCGTCACGAAGGTTGCTATATTTAGTTGAGAAACCTTTTTCACTATTCTAGCATACAAGGAGTAATGTTTACAGAGCTTTCTCAAAGATTTGTCCTTATATTTTGTTCTCCTCTTGCCTCTATTGTCTTGCCCCTTTGTTTCTCTTTTCAATTTTCTTATGAATTTTATTTGAAAGTTGATGTATTTAATGTTGAAGTATGTCATGCCAAATTTAGATTAGGGTTCTCTATGTATCTGTTTCTTTATGGGGTGCTTGTTGACATTTTCTTTACAGGTCCTCACTGAACCAAAAAATGCTTTAGGTAAGCAGTACAAAAAATTATTTAGCATGAACAAGGTGAGCATTTTTTCTTTGTGTACCCGGGACTTTCCTGACCCCTCTCCCCCATCATTTATTGTTTAAGTCAAATGGGTTACTAATTTCTTTGTTATGTATATATTCCAGGTGAAGCTACATTTCTCAGAGAAAGCGTCAAGACTTATTGCAAAGAAAGCAATGGCAAAAAATACTGGTGCAAGAGGGTTAAGAGCAATACTGGAGAGCCTTTTAACTGATTCTATGTATGAGGTAAACCTGGCTGCTGCATGTGCTAGGCATTATGAATATCTAATTAATGTTTATTGGCTGCCAGAACATCTCTCAACTTCTAGTTGAAACGCTATATTGTCCTATTTAGATTCCAGACGTGAAGACAGGAAAAGATAAAATAGATGCTGTGGTTGTTGATGAAGAATCAATAGGCACGAAAGATGCCCCTGGATGTGGGGGGAAAATACTTCGTGGAGATGGTTCTTTGGAGCATTACCTTGCGAAAACTAAATTGAAAGTTCAAGAGGTATGATCTTATTGCACATCAAAGTGGATTGTATTCTGATTAGATTTTAACGTCACCATTTAACGTGTTTTCTAGGAGGGTGTTGGAAGAGCTGAAGCAGAGTTTCAGGAAAGTGAATCAGAAGTCTCATCGAGAGCCATGAGCATGTAACTTTTGTCTGCATCCTCTACTAACCTCTTGTATACAGCAAGTCGTTTTCTTCTTCATTGCATCAGAAAAGTTGCATTCATTCATAATAATTATTAGTTGTCCTTGTGTAAGAAAGTATAGCATCTGGTGGTTAGTGGCAGATAGGTGATCAAGGATAAAAGGAAACAAAGTCATAGTATTTATCATTCTGATTTAAGCAGCTCGTTGTAGAAATTCCCATTCTATAGAGGGTTTAGCTTATACACAAATTTGTTGTACGCTCTTTTACGTTTTGTAATAATGCATAGATAAATTAAGCTAATTTTAGCTTCTTTGTGTACTCTGTCTTGGTTGCAATAAATTTTGAATTCGGCTGCATATTTCTTTTTCCCTGTAGAACTGGTAATTCAGGATTGAGTTCGCGACCTTATTTTTTTCCCTTTTTTTTAAAATCTTTTTCTGTAAAATACAATTTATGCAATATCGCTAGAGACTGGCGAGATAAAAGTGGCATACAAACGGCCTATTTCATTAAATGCTTATCTAATGTAGAAAACAAGCGTTTGGGCTACTTTACTTCCCTCATGGGATATAACATGATACGAGCTACACAATCCACGTCCCTAAAAAACTATAAATCATACAAAATGGTCGCATTTGGTGTCAAACCAAACTCATAAAGGTTGTTCGTCGGAGTGAATCTCTTTGCACCTAATGTACGTGGAACCCTGTTGTTCCTCTGCGTCTCGACCAAAGGAAAACTTACCGCTATCTTTGATTGAGCTGCTAGCACACCGCCCAAATGGTCCCGAATAGCAGCTCGTGTACCATAATAACCGTTCCCAGCTAAAACTGTTGTAACTGTATTCAAAACGAGTCGACCCTGCCTCCAGTGGCCTCAAGCTTTTGGAACCCACTTGATTCTGCCTCCGTCTATCCTCTACTACCTGCTAACCTCTTCCAGCATAACAGACGCCATCTGCACTAAAACACCTGGAATTTCCACACTCGGTTACATTCGCACCCAAATAATCCAAAGATGGCACCCTAGGAACACAGCTGGACCCCTACACAAGTTACTCTGAAACACACCCATTAACACATCTTTAATATTCTCACTTCCCAGCTTGAATAAAGGTTCGATGCCAGTTCTACCAGCCCCTAGACTTCCAAACTTCCTTTGCAACCACAAATGTGAACAAGACATGAATACTAGTTGTGTCCTTGCCACAATGAGCACAAAATTGCTTATCCAGATCACAGCACTTCCCAATGTTATTGAACTAAAAATTTGTAGCCCCTCCGAACTGAGAACAAACCTTTTGTATCATAATGTCATACTAGTTTACCCTCTCTACTCCGGACACTCAATGGGATTGATAAAATTAACTCTCGCTCAGGTGACAAAATAGTTGCTCATCTTAGCAACGTCCCAAGCCCCTGTGGCTGAAATTAAGTCGCAAGCGCCTAAAAGAATCAGGTCCAGGTTACCAATTCTCTATCTTAATCCTTTTTGAAGAAGCTCTGCTACAAATACGAAGCTCCATTAGGAATTCCAGCTGGTAAGGAGTCCAGAGACCTGTAGTAGACTAAGAAACACCTAGTTGTGACAAACTCTCCACTAAGAAATCAGAGATTTTCTAGAAAATACATCAAGTTCTCCATGGTTGTATTTTTGTGAACGATGGTACTTTCTATTATAAAGGTTTTGGACTATACATAAAAGCAGTGGTCGGTCACAGCCAACCCTTTATTCTGAATTTATTAATTCAAAATGAACCAAATCTCCCCCAATAGAATTAACCTATGACCAGTCGGTTAACAGCCAAAATCTCTACCCCAGTTTCTTTTTTTGTTTTTTCCCTTCACTTCAAATCCAAAATAAATAAATAAATAATAATAATAATAATAAATAAATAAAATAAAATAAAATAGGTGGTCGATTCGAGATTTGATAAAAGAGAGAAAAATGACCAATCCAACAATTTCTTGCAACGAAAATCACATCTACTCAACTTCACCTTTTTATATCACAGCCTGTACCAGTCAACCAAGCTATAGCCACAAATTATGTTACCAGGCCAAACAAACTGCTGAGAGAATCTGCTATTCAACATAACTTCTATGTTGCCAATCAGATTTAGCTTTACATAAATTGTCATGGTTATCAATCAAAACTAGCTTGACTACCAATTCAATAATATCGTTTACATAAATCATTTTTTTGATAGGTATCGTTTACATAAATCATAAAGCCACATGTTAAGAAAACGATGCATTTAGGGCTTCAAGAACATCACTTCTCCAAGTTATAGTGCTTGTTCAAAGCTTCGACAACATCCCAAGTGACCTTCATTCCGTTGGGAAATTCAACCAGATCACCAGCCCCTATTTCAAAAAACCCATCTTGGCCATCAATGTAAACTTTCACTTTTCCTGCTAATAGATACATTGTCTCTTTTGCAGTAAATGTCCATGGAAATTTGCTTGGTTCACAGCTCCACCTGTTCATTCAACATATATTATCATCAACATAAGCAATCTATCTATAAAAATTAGATACTATGTAAGCTCAATAGATTAAATGGTGATAAGCTATCTCTTATTTGTGTTGCTGCGTGTTCAACATTCAAGATTCTAAAAATGAACTGTAGTTTCTCTAAAGTCCACAATGTTATGGGTTGAAACTAACCTTGCAGCTCACACCCACAACTGATCAACAAGCTAACTCACTTCAAGACTTAATTAACTTAACTATTTGTTTTTAAAAGTAAAATAGAATTTAGAAAAGGATGAAGGAGTAAAATAAGAAGTGAGAGAAAGCGGAAAGTTCATTTTCTCAACAGTCCAACTGAATTTGCAGATTACAAAACTGATCCCTTCTATGTGCATGATCCAGTCTATATAACTAATGGATTAATTTCACAAATGGTCACTGAAGTTACAGCAAAATTTCAAAATGGTCACTGAAGTTCAAAACTTGCATAAACGGTCACCCAACTTACACTCACTTTCAAAAATGGCCACTGAGCAAAATTAAGGGACTTCTTTGTTCTAATTGAAACATAAATTAACAAAACAAGACCCCTGCAAAATTGGAGGACCTGAAATGCGATTTTGCCCTTTTTAAACCCAAAAAAGGATCTTAAACTTTTTTCAGACGGAACGCCTTCTTCAAGGTTTGTTGATTGCAAATTCCTGATCAGGTAGCATTTTGTGATGGTGAACTGATCCTTTCACTGCCTGTTAGGTAATGGTTTTCAACTTGTTCCAAAGGCAAGGACTAGGATGATCATGTCAGAGAAGCCGAATGATGGTTCTGTGGCAATTCATATTGGGGAAATAGAGGATGCTGACTATTTGGCTTCAGAGGATTACCTTCCAACATTGCCAAATACCGTGAGTTTTGTCTGTTTGCTTGTTTCTTGTGGTTCACAAAACAGATTGTGTTCCAAACAATTTATTTGTTTCATCATATAATTTAACATTTAAGCATTGGCTACTGGGTGGCACATAGAGAGAAGAGATCTAGGTACGCCAGGTGCAGAGGGACCTAGCCCAGGTGGTCCTCAACCGTTGGTGTCCCTGCCGTCGCCGGACTTGGAGTTGTTTGCCGGTTGTGTCGCGAACATCGACTAGTGAAAATTCTGGGTTGTAATTGACATTTTTTGCTGTTGTTTGTAATGAATTGTTGGCATGGGTGTGGTCGCCTGGTGAAAGGCTGTTGGCTGGAGGTGGGTTCCGACCATGAGGATAGCCGGAAGCATGATTCCCGACGATTTTCAGTTTGGAAGGCAGTGANAATCGCACTTCAAGTCCTCTAATTTTGCAGGGGTCTTTTTTTGTTAATTTAAATTTCAATTAGAACAAAGAAGTCCCTTAATTTTGCGCAATGACCATTTTTGAAAGTGAGTGTAAGTTAAGTGACCATTTATGTAAGTTTCGAACTTCAGTGACCATTTTGAAATTTTGTTGTAACTTCAGTGACCATTTGTGAAATTAACCCTATAACTAATTCTTATAGAAGAAATCATATTTCTAAATGAATTGTAAAACGCACTTCTATCTATTACATTTTATTGAAACGAAATCGTGTTGTCTTGTTTAACTGAAATATAGTAACTTGGGAAATAAATGGTTTCTTGATGTAAATATGATGATTGAGGGATAACGGTCATTCGACATAAATACGGTGACTTGACGTAAATACGGTGGCTTTAGTGATAATGGTGACTTCAGTGATATACAGTAACCTCAATGATATACGATGACTTCAGTGCATTTCAAATTATAGTTATTTGCTGTTGGTTTTGCATTCCTCGCCTGGTACTATTCTTCCTTCTTCCCCACTGGCTCTTTACATGACAACCCTCTCTCTCACCTTGATCTTGTCCCCAAGATTTGTAGAAAGTGAATTGGGACTCATTTCGATCTTCTGCATCTTCTCATGTGGTGCATTCCGAAGAAAGATCTGACCACTAGATAAGCCACTGAAATGCCGTGTGGTTTCTGCATTTTACCAATCTAGATTGCAGAACTGACAAGGGCTGGTTCTGGTTGAGGGTGCCGATCTTGTGTACGTAGTTGCAACACTGGCATAACTTTTTCTCCCAATTTCTTCTTCAACAAGGATACATGGAAGACATGTTGTATCTTGGAGCTTGTGGGTAGTGCTAATCGGTAAACCACATCCCCTATCTTCTTAGTAATTTGGTAGTGGCCAAAGTACCTTGCTCCTAGCTTGTGGTTTCTACTGTTTGCTATTTGTAGGGATGTAGTTTAAGGAAGACCCACTCACCTTCTTCAAAGGACCTTTCTGATCTACTTTTGCCAGCATAGTGTTTCATTCTTGCTCTTGCCTGTGCTAGGTTCTCTTTCAATTGTTGATCCATTTTGTATCTACCTAGAAGTAATTCTTCCACAGTTGCAACATTGGACTGCTGGTCGGGTCTTAGTGACAATTGGGAAGGTTTAATCCCATAGAAAGCTTCAAAAAGGGTCATCTAATAAGTTGAGGATGG